GTTAAAAAACAATAAGATAAAAAAGGCTGAGCTCATTATGAAGGTTCTGGATTCAATCTCTAGTACCAAAACAAAATAACACACACAAGTGAAATCATATGGAAGGCCCTAAAATATTAAAAGTAGAATTACTGTAAGGTCCAATACTTTGAATATATATTAAAAAATTCAGAATGAGAATTTTGAAGGAATATTCACCCTCCATGGTTATTGCGACATTATTTATGGTAGTCAAGATGTGGAAATAACCAGAATGACAAGTAACAGAGAATGGACGAGAAAAGAAAATCTAGTACAGTCTATACAAATAGGGGAGTATTATTTGACTTTTAAAAAGAAGGAAGTCCCAAAGTGAAGTTGTGGTGGTGCATGTTGTAATCCCAGTACTCTGAGATGCTGAGGCAGGAAGATCACAAGTTTGAGCCCAATCTGGGCAATTTAGTGAGACTTTGTCTGAAAATAAAAGAAAAATTAAAAAGAGCTTGGGATATAGCTGTTGTATGCAACAGTAATGATCCTTGGGGACATTATGCCAAGTGAAGTAAGCCAGTCCCAGAAGAAAAACTATCGCTTGATTCCACTCATGAACGAGTGAACATTGGGTCTGGGGGATTCAATCCCAGCACCAAACAGAAGTTTTATCCATACTTTTACTATTTACTATTTTTTAAGGGGAATTTAATTCACAGCAGAATTGAGAGAACAATACAGAGATATCTCATATTCAGAATCTCATAATTGCTGTTTTTATACATGCTTGTAGTTTTATAGCCCTAAAAGTCATCTGTGCTCCATGCATTATATTTTTCTAGAAAATTGTCATTGGACTTTTATATTGTTTCTTTTTGTGCAAATTTTGTTTGGGTTTATACTTTTTAAAGGTAAATTGCTATAATTTACATTATGTCCACTGTTACATACTATTCTTTGAAGTTACGTGTTAGTAAACATTCTCCAAAAATTTATAATCTTTTAGTCCAGTTTCTAAATAGTAAATATAAAAAGGCACTAATTGGATAGGTCACTGTTTCAGTTACTCAGTTTTGGTGTCCACTTAGATTCCTTTTTTAAAATAGCCATACTTTTTGCTTATTTGCCTGTGAGGGTGTTAATTTGGTTTTCTAACTGATGCACAAGATATCTGTCTATATAAGTCAACTATTTATTGTTCCCATATTTGTCTTTAAAACTTAACCAGTTTTGAGTATTCTGAAGTTTAAATTTTTTTCATCTAGTCAAATCTGAGTCTGTTTGCTATCATGCTTATCCTTTCTTTGATTTGATGAATTTTGTGTTTGGTTTTATTTTTCCACACTTCTTTTTTATCTGTAATGTATTTTGGTATGTGATACAAAATTGCATTTAACTTTTATTTTTAATACTGACTTTACTGAATTAATCTCTTTCTCATCAATTTGAAGTTGAAACAAATGTAATCTATACTTCCTAAGCACTAGCTTTCAAGTGGATGGAGTGGGCTGGGATTTTGCGCAGTGTTGAGAATTTGCCTAGCATGTATAAAACCTTGGGTTTACTTCTCTGGCACTACAATTAAATAAATCAATGGATAGGTAGATAGATGGGCAGCATGAAAATACGCCAGTCTCAAGTATATGAGATGCTCCTCTTCCACTCGGGCAATTGGTAATATGGAGACAATTTTGATTATTACATTGTGGGTGCTGTTAGCAGTTAGAGGGCAGAAATGCCGCCAGCATCCTGTGATGCACGACAGTCCCCACAACAGAGAGCTATTTGTCCATAAATGTCAGAAATATGAAGACTGACCTAGTTAGTATTGGATGGAATCTGTCTTGGTAGTGGGATCAAAATGGGGGTATTTGCATTTTTATCTATTTATATATAATTCTTCTTGGTAGATGTAGGAGGCAAGAAATGATGACTGAGCAGGGCAGGATATGAATAAACTCGGTGAGTATGTCAAAGGGCTTTCCTTTCCCAGAAGTGTTGGAGTCTTAAAAGAGGATTTACTTTTCAAATCTCATCTGGGAGGTTGGATGTGGGAAACTACCTTCTTGTTTCTTTCGAGGCTCATTGGGTTTTTCCTACCTCACCTTTTGTGTCATTTTGTTTTTTGCTTGTAAAGAATAAAATTGTCTGTCTGTCTCTATATCTCTATCTCATAAGAGGCCTTTCTATTCTTACTGTTACCACTTGTCCCCACAGCCCCATATAGCAGACTGAGAAAGGTGACGGGAAACAGGAAAGGTCTGTATTGTGTTTTCCAAAGTGGATGTGTTGCCTGTGTCTCCCAGGAAACACATTTGGTGGAGTAGGAGGAAGGAAGGACAAACTGCTTGTGCTGTTGTTCTAGTTCACTGTTTGCCAAATGTGCTGAACTACTATTAAGAGATATTAATATACAAGTTCATGTCCAGCAAACTTGGGAAGTGGTATTAAACTAATAGCATGATTTGTAAATATAGTACATTGCAGAGCCTTTAATATATATTAATGGAATGTATTGTAGCGGGGGGGGGAGGGAACAGACATAAGTACAGTATACCTCAAATGTAATTAGACCCTGAGACCCTTTTTTTCTGTGAATATCTCTTGGATCCCTGGCATACTCTTTTTGAATATGATCCTCTGATCAGTGCAGCTTGAGAGTAGCATTTTCCTCCTGGTGCTTTTATAAGAGAAGTTGGAAAAAAGTTTAGAATGGAGCCACTATTTTCGTCCACACAGGTTTTATTAAATGCAATTTTTATTAAATAGTATACCTTTATCTTTTCAAAATCAAATCTTGTGAGAATGTATTCTAAGTTTTTAACTTTATACATTTTCTCAGGGTACCTGGAAGTAGAGAGAGAGGGGCCCACTACCAGTCTTTCTTCAACTTAAATCCTTCGCCACTCCTTTACATGCTTATCTTTTCATGTTTCCAGGTGTGTTTCTTTCTCTTTACTACTCGTGGACATTGCAGTATCCAAGATGAGCTTGAAATTACCAAGCTCGGGATTGGCTGCAAGGAGTCTCTGCTTGTTCCGCTAAGGAATCTCCCTAGTTTTATTCATCTCCAGGTTCCTTGAAAATAACAGTAGAAGGAAGATTACATAGAAACCTTGTTTCCTTCTTTTCTGTCCACTCAGGATTATTCATTGCTGCCACCACTGCAGCTCTGTTTCAGGCCTAGGGCACACTGGCTTTTTCTGTAGATCACGGTTGGTTTTGGGGTCCAGAGCCCTCCTCCTTGCCCACTTCCCATCCTAGAGCTTACACAGTTTTATTGCGGAGGCCAGTGAGTTTTCCCCAAGGCAGCCATCTGGAGCCATTCTGTGAAGGTTTCTGAAGTTAAGAGAAGTATTAGAAGATAACATGTGGGGGGAGTGGAACTTGAAAACCCAGAGCACGCAATACTTTCTGACTATTCATTCAGCAGTAAGCACGAGGCTGTCTAGTTTCAGTCCCCTCTATGTGACTTATATTTGTCAATAAATTAACTTATATTTGTCAATAAATTAACTCATTCAAGCCCCTACACACATACTGAATGAGTGACTAAATCAGGATTCTGATTTTTTTTGTCTTTTCTGAGGCAAGGTTTCACTGTATGGTTTAGGCTGGTCTTGAACTCACTTTGTTAGCCCCAACTGGCCTTGAATTCGCGGTGATCCTCTGGCCTCAGCCTCCCACCTCAGCCTCCCAAGTGCTGGGGTTACAGGTGTAAATCAAGATTCTAAGCTCCTCTCTTTGGCTTTTTTTTTTTTTTTTTTTTTTTTTGTCTTTTTCCTTTTTATTGGTACTAGAGATTGAACTCACGACTGCCAGCTTACAAGGCAGGCGCTTATGCTGCTGAGCTAAACTCCCAGCCCTCCTCTCTTTGGTTTTAAAACTTTGGTTTTTGTACTACGTCACACTTCATTCCTAATCAGAGCTGGTTGGGTGTTCTTAGAGAGACTAGTACTCAGTGATGGCTCCTGTCTTGGCTTACGTTCGGTATTTTCAAATAGATTGTCTGGAAGTACTATACCGGGCCAAACATTTTAAGACTTTAAAGAACACAAAAGGGAAAATTTGAAAGATAGGTGTATTCTCTGATGACAGTAAACAGAATCTTGTAAGCTTTGGTAATTTGAATAGATTACAGTATCCTTTTTGAATAATGCCGTGCAACAAATGTAGTTTAAATTTTGTGCCCTAGTTTTAGAATTTTAGATTTGGGGAGGAATTTTAGAGAGGCTGTTACCCATAAATGAGCTGTGAGTACTTCTAAAGCACAACTCTCTCACTTCCCCTTCTCATTAAGTTGCCATTTAGCCATTAGGTAGGAGCTTCAGAAGGGAAAATCCAATCATGTATAATCTCCAGCTAATGGGCATCTATTGAGCGACTAGGTCACTATAAAGAATAATTACACAGTGCCTCTTTGTGCAGTAAACACAAAAATCAAAAGATAATGCATTCCCAAAGCAAGCCAGGTTGTTAGTGGCTAACAGCATCCTTGTCTCCAGGGAAAAGATTGAGGCACCCACCATACTTGTGAGGGGAGATTGCAAAGCCATTCTCAAAAAACAAGCCTATCAAGGCGGGAGAAGCAGAAAGGCAGGGGCACTTCCAAGGCTTTGTCACTTATAATTACTGATTGTTGGGTTGAATTACTGAATAGCAGACATTCTAGAAAATGTTTCATGCAATCATTGGGAACTTTGTGGATGTCTGGGGTTTCTTACCGCAAGTAAATAACAGTGATGACTGAGGTTGAGCTGCATCCCTATTCCCATAATGTAGCCTGTTTTCTGAGCCTGGCTAGCCTTCATAAATGAAGACTTTATGCTTACTTTTGTCCAGCCACTAACTATTGATATGTGAAAGACAAGCATAGTTCCCTTGACCCAAATGGCATGTTAGCCACAAGCCAAAGAGTTCTTGGGGTTGTGTTGATACAGTCTAGTTTGGGTTTTCAAAATTATGTCTTGTAGTAATTTAGGATCTGCAAAAGTCGGCATAATTCAAATAACCTGTTTTTCCCCCCTTAGAACACTTCAGTTATGGAAGATCAAAATGAAGATGAGTCCCCCAAGAAAAATACTCTTTGGCAGGTAGGAAAAATAAGATAGCAATTAACTTGCTGTAGATAAGATTCTCCCTCACTGAATGCCCTGGATGAAATCAAGAGCCAAGCTTTTAAAAGTTTTCTTTTGTTTAGTTTTGCTAGTTTTGGAAACTGCCATAGTTTATTATCTTTTCCTTAGGGAATAGGTATTACAAATAAAGAATTTCAGTTTTCACAAAGATTCTCAGGTGGCTGTAGCCTAAAATGTTCTTTCTATCTGTGGTCAAAGGTAGAGAATGGTGTCATTTAAAGTGGCACCGTGCCACACACTGTTGTATGTATGCACTGATATTTTTTCCTTCATTTGTTTCCTATTCCCACCATTTGCTTGCATTCTCTATTGCTTTGCCTTTTCCTGTTAATCTCAAACTTTTCTCCTGACTCTATTGTAGTTCGCCGGTTTCCTCCCAATCTCCCAATCTGGGTGAGAGGAGCATATAAAATTTCATAATTTGACGTTTTCACAACCATTATGGTGTACATTATTTCCCCCTTTGTGAGGACATGAGTAAAGGCAAAACATTTTTAAATCTCTAGAGAATGATATAAAAAATAAATTTCATTTTATTTGAAATTAAAAAGGAAGATTAGTTAACAAAAGTAGCATGTACCCAACAAATTTAAGATACAATGAAACAATGCTAGGAACATTTTGCTGAGCTCAGTAGATTGGAAATTGAGTATTTTCTTTGTTGAACATTGAATGCAAACTGAATTCTGTACTGTCCTTTATGTTTATTATTTTGCAATAGAATTTCTTCATTTAGTATTGATTTTTCGATTCACAGTGGTTCTTAACACTTTAGCCTTCAGTTTTTCCTCTGCTTTCCAGCCAGCTAGTTAATGGTACAAAATTCCCTAGGAAGACTAGATGGTTAGGAACCCCTCTATAAGTGAAATAACCCTTTCACTGATTGAATGAGATAATGGTATGAAAACACTTTGTAAATTATAAAGCAGTGCATAAATGCTACCATAGTTATTACTGTCATTATATTTAACTTATTATGGAAAGTTATAGCAAACTAAAAAAATTGGGAATAAAGGGGAAAACATAAAAGTTTTTCTTTCTCAAGATTAGGCACGTTTGGCATTTTGATGTATATCCTTTGCTTTTTTTTAAAATAGGGTCTCACTATGTAGCCCAGGCTAGTCTTAAACTCATGATCCTCCTCCTCAGCCTCCTAGGTTCTGTGATGATAGATGTGTGCCACCATGTGGGGTTTATCCTTTACTTTGTCTTGATTTGCTTTCTTCACAAAGTATTATGATGATCATAGTGTTATATAAAATTGTGACTCTTGCCTTTTGTTCCTTAATGCTATGTGTTAAGCATGTTCTCTTATTACAGTGCTACTTTATAAACCAAATTTTAGTGGTTACATTATAGTTCTTCTATGTAGATGTGTTATAATTTGCTTCAGCCAACCAGCTGTAATTATTTTGATTTTTCTTAGTTATAACATTGTGGTAGATATCGTTATGTTTAAAAGCAGTGCAGTAGCCTTTGTTTTAATCCCTTTGGTGTTCATCATAACAAAGAATTTTGCTTTCTGTCTTATGTTTTTGAACTCTGGTTTTTGGGTCTGTTAGGCAAGTAAAATACATACTTAAAAAAAAAATCCCTGTTGAATACTGCCCCCTGGTGGTACCCTATCTAATGCCTTATAAGTTAAAAGGGGAAAAACATTCTTGAGTAATTGGTTGCGAGACAAATGCCTTCTGACTTTACCTCTAAATGTGAACTTAAATACTTACTTCTGAAATGAAACCTATAATAAGATTTCATCAAGGAAGGTCAAAGATTCTTTGGTATTTACAAAGGATATTGATAAATTCAATCTACTTTAAATTAGGGAACACACTGATAACAAAAGTTGGTTCTGTGGCTGCTAAATTCCTAATGGAACTATTAGACATTTGTCATGCAGCTCTTTGCTTCTTAAAATTTTCTTATACTGCATGTTATTCCTTTTGGTATTATACACAGGTTATCAGAGAAGTGATGGCAAGTATTTGACAGAAGTACAGTATTGAGGTTATTTTGTTTTAAAACAGGGAAGTTACTGAGCTTCATAGCATCAGCAGTACAGTAACTGTGGTTTGAGGCTAGGGATTCAGATTATCTATGCATGCTGTTGTCCAGCTGTAGTGTATGTGTGTAGCTAGCTTGCTCACTTTCTCTCTTTATCCCTTCCCCTCCCCTCCCCTCCCCTCCCCACCCCTCTACCTTCCTCCCTTCTTCTCTGTCTCTTTCTTTTCTCTTTTCTCTCTCCCCCTATTTGTCTCTCATTCTCTCTCAGCCCTGTCTTGCTATGTAGCCCAGGCTGGCCTCAAACTTGGCAATGATCCTCCTTCCTCAGCCTCCTAGGTGCTGAAATTACAGGTCTGTGCCACCAAGCCTGCTTATTGCTTGCTTGCTTCCCTCCTTTTCTTTCCTTTCCTTTTCCTCTTTTCTTTATTCTTTCCTTCCTTTTTCTTTCTTAGTCTCTCTCTCCTTCCCCATCTCCTTTACTCCCCTCTCTTCCTCTCTTCTGGAAATCAAACCTAGGGCCTCACACTGCCAGGCACAAATGAACTTCTTCTAGTCCTGTAGTTTTTTTTGTTTGTTTGTTTTTAGTACTGCTGTGATGCAAGGGCATGTAAGTAGATTTGATGAGGTGAATGTAGGTATACATGATTGACTGGGCCATTTTCTGAGAAGATGATTGAAAGAAGGGCAAGTCTGAAATGTTTTGCCAGAAGTTTATTTAATAACCCTGGGAAAAATATGGAAGGGATCAAAACTGCCAGGCAAAATGGAGGTTTTTTTATTTTTTATTTTAAATCCAATCACTTTAAGTTTAAATATAAAACTACTTATCTTCTTTGTTAGATAGACCTGGAGTTCTCAAAGTGCTGTCTCTAATGTGCAGTGTCGACCAGTGTTGTCATATTGTCTGGAACTTCTTGGAGATGCAGATTCTCAAGCTTTACAGCTGATGCTTAGAATCAGAACTTCTGGGGTGGGACCAGCAATCTGTGTGTTACAAGCTCTCTGTTACCCTGATGCAAGCTCAAATGAAAACCACTAGTGTGGGTATACAGTAGTGCCACAGTTTCAGTTACCTGGGTTAGAAAACATTATTTGGAAAATTTCAGAGAGAGGGGGAAAGACCATACTTTTTATTACAGTATATTGTTTTGTCTTATTACTAGATTGTTATTGATCTCTTGCCATGTCTCATTTGTAGATTAAACCTTATCGCTATTACCAATGTGTGGGAAAAGCACAGTTTATGTATAATTTGGTACTATTCATGGTTTCAGGCATCCATTAGGGGATTTGGAATATATCCCTAAGGGGTCTACTGTATATAGCCTTAACTTTTAACTTTGAGGAAGTAAACCATATTGTTAATAGTCAGTTGCTATTGACCAAGTTAAGCAGTTCCCATAACACAATTATCTCTAAAATTAGTTAATCTAGTAACAATTGACTTTGATTTAAGCATTAGAGAATGACGATTTAAGACACTATTTAGCTTCAGAAATAGCTATAGCTCTAGCATTTACTGTAATGACTAGTTTGAGGAGATGGACCATGAATACATTTTTAGTTATTTTACAGTGAATTAATAAATGAGTTTGGCTTTATGGTTAAAATTGTCATTTTAAGATTAAATATACAAGGTGTGAAATATTTCTTTTTTTAAAATTTTTTTCCCCACCCCGCGTGAAATATTTCTAATGAAATAAGAGATTTCTTTCTTTTGTCAAACTAATTATTACTATTATTTTGTTTTCCTAATACAGATAAGTAATGGAACGTCATCTGTGATTGTCTCCAGAAAGAGGCCATCAGAAGGAAACTATCAAAAAGAAAAGGACTTGTGTATTAAATATTTTGACCAGTGGTCTGAATCAGATCAAGTGGAATTTGTGGAGCATCTTATTTCACGAATGTGTCATTACCAGCATGGACATATTAACTCTTACCTGAAGCCCATGTTGCAGCGGGACTTTATCACTGCGTTACCAGGTAACTGCTCTTGTCCTACACAGCTGAGCAGTGGAGAAGTACCCAGCCCAAGGATCTAGGTTGGGCTGAATGGGATCTTTATGAAATGTATGAATGAATACTGTACAAAACAGTATTTCTTTGGGACATACACTATAATGTCAATGTACAGTATAGCACATAAGGAATTAGAATTTAGCACCTACCTAGGAAATGTAGGCTGTTCATATGATTAAGTATTAATTATTGGTCAGTACTGTTACTTAATGTTTGCTTTTTCTTTAAATGTTACTTTTCATTTTGATGTAATTTACATATAATCTTTCTGTACTTTGCCTTTATGTGAAATTTAAAATTACACTGGGGCATGCACATAGTTCTGCTTTCAGACTTCATTACTGCAAACAAAAACCAAAACACATTGAGAAAACTGGTAATGTGTCTTTGTTCCATTTAAAGCAAATCTTGTTGTTATACATGCTTGCAGAATGTAATAGTTACATTCATTATAAGGAATTGGTCCATGGACATAGCACATCTCAATTTTTTTTTTCTCTTCCCTTTAGCACTTATTTTGCCAGCATCAGAGTCATATGTTTATCTTATAAGTCATTATAAAGTTAATTATCATATATATAAGCAGACCAAAAAACATAAAAGACACATAAGACAATTATATTAAATCAAGGTACACTTTTAGATACATCGTCCATGCTGAATAACAATTTTTTCCTCTCATTTTTCCTATTACCTGTCTTTGATTTTGTGCTTTATTTATGTATTAAGATTCTCATGTAAGAGAAACCATGCAAGTATTCACGGTTGGGTCTCAGATTTAGTTCACTTAGCATTATGGTCTCAAGGTATATCGATTTTCCTACATGTGACTCAGGTTTATCATTTGGCGAGGGCACAGTAAAACTAACTTCTTTATGACTCCACGTAGTAATTAAATATATAAAAGAACAAATACTGTCAAGATGGTCATATGTGGCTTAGGAAACAGCTGGTCCCAGTTCAGTTACACAAATGTTCATTTAGTTTAGCAATAAATTTGTTTTTAATGTTTGTAATTTTTTCAATCCCCAAGGTTTGCATAGTTCAGTAAAATTGTCATTTTTTAGTTCTTAGGTTCGTGATGTTTACCAATTATCAGGAAATTAATGAAATCAATGCAAAGTCCTGTAACAGTAGAGCACAAGTTCACAGAAATAAATTTGTTGAGCTCATTGCAAGTTTGATTCAGTTTAGCTAATGGATCTACACATGAAGCATGAAGCAGTATTAACAAATTAGATTTGTATTAAGGTTTTATTTCTTTTAAATATTTATCATATTGTGTGTGTGTGTGTGTGTGTGTGTGTACACAGGTGTTCTATTGATTCTTTTGGTTTTAAACATAGCTCTGTTTGACCTAACTATATATAGTTCTATTTTTAGCAGATACCAAAAATCAAAGTTTCAAAAGGTAAAAATAGAGTTATTGCTTCAGTACAAAAAATGTGTAGCCCATATGAGTGCTACTGCTATTACTGCTTTTCTTCTGTAGGAAAACTATCCTGGAAATCAAGGAATGTACCCCAGAGCTCCCTCCTTGAAGTATAACTTGGTTGTACATTATTATCTGTTACTTTGTTATCTGTTTATTATCTGTTAGTTTGTTCAAAGTTACTCGATTTTGTCTTTTAAAAAACAAAACATGAAATTGCAAAAATAAGTAAGTCCGCCTAAGGGATTACAGTAGATAGGCTTCCAGATAGGACAAAAGAATCGTGTGACAAAAAGCCCATCCGTGCTGTACAATTAAATAATAGCTTTGGATCTTTGAGGTCTCTAACTATAGCCTTCATTTTAGAATGATTTTCAGCTGGCAAAGAGACACATTTTTAATTTTCTCAGTTAAAAATGAAAATATAGTGGGTATGTAAATTCTACCTTTTGGAAATTTACCTCGGTTTGTACCATCATTAGTTTTTGACTTGCGCCTAGTTGCAGAATGTAAATCCTAGGAATTTAAATAAAATCAAAATATCCCATTAATTTTTAGTGGTTTCTTGGTCTCCAGAGTAGGTATCAAAAGAAGAAATAAGACTCAAAAGTTTTGCTGCCTTCTCTTCTTCGTATCCAAGAATGAGCTGTTTTTTCACAGTGTATCTTTGACAAAGTTCTGTTTCACATCCCACCATGGAATCCAGTGCTTTTAACCACTTGTATAGTTCTTCTTAACTTAGATTTTTTTTTTTAAAGTTCAAATCTCTATCTTGAGGATTTTTCTAGTTATTAGGAAAAACATATTTGGTCGTAGGGAAGACCTCACGTGCATTCTAATTACAGTTTTCTTGGCTCTTATTCTTGAAGTCCTGCTTGTCAAAGTAGTCCATAAAGGGTGGCCTTTGTACTTGTGGTGAAGTTGCATTTCCCTTCATAGTTCTGTCTTTTTCCTTATCCTCACTGTTTATAACCCTGGTCCTCAGGTCAGATTCTAGCCTTGTGCTGTTGTGGTCAGTCATGGGCCCCTTCTCTCATTGTGCTTGTGGCCTGCATCGTGCTCATACTTCGTGGCTCATCTTCATCAGAGTTTTCTTCATGCAGTTCTTACTACTGTTCTTCAGGTCATTTAGGTTTGATATCCATGGCTTCTGTGACTAGGTCTCTTAATATTGATATAGGTTTTGCATTCTTGATGAAAGAATGATGGAAAAGCTGTGTTGTGATAGCTCTCTGTTCAGGATTCCTCACTAAGCATTTCACTGATTTTTAACAAAATCAAAATCAGTGAAATCATCAGACCAAAGTTTGGGCTTCCTGAATGTTGGTGGTAGATTTGTGGAAATCATAAAAATAGCCCTCATTAGATGTATATCAGCATAGAGAGATTTTTCTTTAGCCGTTTCTGTAGAAGTAATGCCAAGCAACTATATGTCAGTCACACAGTGATAACCTGTTTCTTGAATTAGTTCAGGAGCCATCCTAAATGGAGTTCCTATGACAGTACTGCATTTTGCCATTGTATCTAGTAACTGACCAGTCACTCCAAAATATTCCAGTTTTGCATGTCCTGTATCGAGGAGAATATTTCTAGTTTTTATATCTCTGTGTAGTGCAAATAATCTAGTCCTCTCAGTGTAGATTTTAGAGTGGTCGCAGTTTCATCTTCTAATTATGTCTGAGACAGAGCCAGCTCCACCAGTCTAGAGGTATGTGTTCTTAAAGTAACTGCCATAGTACTGCACAATATATGGGTTGTCATATTGTTTCCTGAAGATCTGACTCAACAGGTACTTGCTTAATTGCAACAACTTGTCCAGATTCTTTAAAACACTTGCTTTAAAAACATTTCCTTATTACCTTTCTCCAAGCTTCTATAAGACATCAGAAACTTCTTTAGGCTTCTTGGTTAAACTGTCTTCGCTCAGCTTTGAAATTAGCTTACGTCTAGGTGAGATTTCCCACATTTTTTCACATGCACAGCTTGTTCCACTGTCAAGATCCTGGGCAGAGTGTTTTGTTACTTTCTGTGAACCTGTATCAATACATCTTTGTTCCCCCAAATACATAGTTCATGTTGGGGTTCACTCCTGGGATTATTTTATGGATGTATCAATGTAACAGATGTATCAATCATTATAGCATCATACAGAGTAGTTTTAGTCCCTTTTGGTGTTTAAGCATTCATTTCTTTATGTTAAATTTGAGTAGGTAAGACATGAAAATGCTGATGAGAATATTTTCTTTTGACATGGTTGGTGTACCATGCTGGTTACTACTGCCATGCCAGGTTATACCTAGAAATAGCCAGAGATAAACCAGTGCGATGGCATGGGCCCTGTCTCCCATGAGACCCATGAGAGTTACTGCTGGCTTCTTTAGGCTGTTTTGTGATTTACTGCATGTGCTCAGTACTTCCACAACACACGGGACTCAGACCTGGGCCTCGGGCTAAGTGAGACCTAAGGGCTGCAAATTAACAGGCCACTTCTAAGTTTTAATCTGGTTCCCTAAATTTTTAAGTTTACTTTCAGTGATGGGAGTGTTAAGTAAATACATTTGTGATTTAAGACAAATTTTCACTCGGCTTTTTTTTTTTTTTTTTTTTTTTAAATCGCTGAAATGTAGCATGACTTGTCTACTTCCGTTGTATCTCTGAATGAGAAGACTACCAGAAGAATAATGCGAAATGCCCAGGAACATGAGTTTTGGTTACTGTGTGATATAGTGTAGGTGATGGTAGGCCATTAGTTCAAAGAAGAGTAAGATTATTCTGGAAAATTCCTTAAATTGGCCCTTTAAATTGACTGTGTGGATTATAATCCTGTTCAGTTAAATTCACTTTATATTTTTGGGAACAAGGAGAAATGGAGGAGGCAGGGAGAGAAAGAAAGAGACATGTTTTTGAATGTATGAAAGAGTTACAGGTAAATGGAAGCCAGCTGTATATGCACGGTCTTGGCATTTGCAATGTCTGGACTCAGAACCCTCTGGATCAGGCTGCATCTTACCGCAAGAAAAGACTTGTGAATTTTAGAAGTGAATGATTTTTCTTTTCATCGTAAGTACTTTTACTAAATGGATCTGACTCCATTTCCCCTAGAAAATTGTTTATTGTTTGTTCTTTTTTTGGTCTTTTTCCTTTTTATCGGTACCGGGGATTGAACTCACAACTGCCTGCTTGCAAGGCAGGCGCTTTTGCCGCTGAGCTAAATCCCTAGTCCCCTATTGTTTGTTCTCTTAATGGTTTGGTTTTATTTTCTTCGCTGTAATTTGCTTTCTGAGTGGTTTAGTGTGCCAGGGAACTCCCTTTGTTTGCAGGGTAGCCACGAGGTGGCGCTGTTGAAGTTCTCTTGATTTGCGGAGTACTACTGGCTCCTTCCAGGCAACCCCTTCTTTCTCTTGAGGAGTGTGCAGCCTTGGAGAAGAGGCAGAACAGATGAACATGTGTTATGTATATAAATATGGTTAGTATAATTGCATACAATTCAGTTTTCATTACAGAGAATTTTAAGGCATTGTCCATATCTCTG